TTCACCATTAACTCGAGAAAGTCCGTTGGCTTTCCTAGTGGATTGAGATCCCATCTGGCCCATTTCAAACTTTCATTATGGCAAACAAGCCAAAATGGGTTGATTAAGTAAGCCAACAAACTTAATTTACACTAGTTGATAGCTCCCACTACCAACCTCAAATGTGAAGCAAGCCAACAACCCAATCACACAATCTAATGGCCTAACCATCATCCTCGAGTGTGATTCTCAGTATCAGTAGAGTGGACACTACATGTTGCCATGTACACATAATAAGTGCACTTCTCTACTATGCGTATGGTATGTTTATCAACCTTCGCTGTGGCGAACAAGCAAAACTATCATTTTAAATTGACACATCACCATTAAGAAAACTCTAATGAGCTTTAACCTCCCACTGGTAGAAGTGTACCCTTCACTGTGGCAAACAAGGTTCCAACAAACAGTGGTTTGATTAAACCCATGGTGATGGAAGGCTTACATATGACTTAATATACTTTAATTAAGGGATTTTATATTATGTTTCACCAGATTATTGTCTTTGTTAGAATGGCATTGTTTGACATGTTATTGAACATTCAACTTTAGCATGCATTCTAAGCAAAATATAAACGTGCCGGTACATGGCCTAACTAAAACCGATTTCCTCGAGCCTAGAGGAATCGGTGGGTCACCTAGGGGTCCTGTAAAAAAATATCTTGAGTCTTCAAGTATGATTGTCTCGTCCTCGCTCCGTCTTCAAGTACATTACAAAAGACATCATACTAAATTTATAGTGAAATTAATTACACATTAATTTTACATCAATAAATTTAGAAACCTCGATTTACGTTCGAGGGGAATGAGATGAGGAGAGAATGTACATCAAGAAGATAGGAGAAAGGCAGGGCGCGCAGGCCCTATTTAAAATTACAATCATACATATGAAAAAATATTTTAAAACATTCACCATAGGTCCAAGGCTTATGTACCGGGCACCATGAAATTTTTCCAACAAGAATTATTGCATACATTCAAAACAATCAATTTTAAATTGGGTGGGTTGATTTATAAAAATTACCCTCTTGGATTTGTAGAATCACGCATCGATCCAGCATTAAAAAATGCTACAGTGCCTTTCACGCCACAGTATGGTTTTATCACGCCACGACACACAACGGGAATAGAATTTCATCGCGGCGTAAAACCAGCAACTCACGCTATGACGAGGCATTTGCGTTGCAGCGTATTCCACTTACGCCGCAGCTCAATTATGCAATCTGACGATACAACGTGCTACTTTGTCATAACCACGCCACAGCATAGTTTTATTACATGCTCAAATTGAAATAACACAAAATCAAACAAGGATCGAATCATACCAGCATTTGGAGGCTCCATTAGTATCTCTGAACACGATCTCGCAATCGATCCAAGTGCAGGACGAACTCACATCATTTACACAAAGACAGTACAACAGAGACCAGAGATTGGTTTTGCTAGAACCAATCTTTGGCTTTAAGGATTCAAGGTTTGGAAAGGATAAAGTGAAGAAGAAAGGAAAAGAGAAAAATTCTCTCTAAAGTTTTCACTCTCATGGCCAAAAAAGATTGAATGAATAAAAACCTATTCAACCTTTTCTTTATATAGAAAAGGAAAATATCAATTCCACCCCCAAAGTTTAGCAACAACCCAAACTTACGTGGAATTACCATAGGTACCAATTTAATTATTTAGTTAAATGTTAATATAAATATTAAAATTAACTTCAAAAATTAAATTTGTAATTTTGCTAGATAACTCTAATAATAAAATTGGACACAGGCAACAACCTTAGTAAATTTAATTACACAAAAAAATTACCAGTATGCCCTTTCATCCAATAGACAAAAATACCCTTCCATTGTTAACCACCCTTAAACTGTCATCCTAGTGTGTGACCCGTAGGCTCCTCATCATACCGGTAATAAGTAGTATCGCGATTGACACCAATCAATCGTCTCACTATACACAAACCAAGATTGGTTCCTAGCAAGGCATCATGGCCACTCAATAGATTCGGATTCAAATAAATAGCTACCTGTCAACGATATGGTTACTGTGCAATCAAATCCTTTCATCATTTGTTATCTCATCGAGACCGAGGTACAGAAATAGTGTCAGCCTTAGTTACTCTTGATATATTTGTATTTAGTTACTAGACCAATGACTAGAATAATAAATTGGATTAAGTGACAACTCAATCCGACTGTGGCCATAGCTTTAGTGTCATTGCGATATACTGAATTACACCGTGAGACAACTTCTCCCTACCCAGGAGTGATGAATCCTCTGTCGATCCACCATAGTCTTGATGCAGCCAATCACTACCGTATCGATAGCTCTTAATAGAACTACATTAGGCTAGTGTCAAACTACACCAATCGGTGAACAAGACACTCTAATGATCTCAAGTCTAAGGATCACATGCACCACCATTCGTTAGAGGATTCGCTCCATAAACACTGGGGTTACCATCTATATGGAATCCTCTGGTGGGTTAGTCTAGTGAACTTGCCTACAGCAAGCACCCATGTGTTGCACTAGGTTATCGGCAAATAGCCTTGGCAAGTGAGATTAGTCACTGCCTTTTTATAGGGTCGTTCAACACTATGATAGCCTTACCGTATTATCTGTGTCGTTGGTTAGAATAATATTGGGGCTACGGACATTTCTAGAATGGCCACCATATATGCTCATAGGGTTCTCACTATTAATATTTGAAATACTTGATACCCTCGTCACGGTTCTACCATTCTAAGGACATATATCAATACATATAGATATGATTTACACAATACATAATAAAATGCATTTTATTGATCAATGAACGTTATTACAAAGAGTCAATTCTACAATAATTGATTGGCTCTAAGGCACCTGCTCTAACATTTTCCAAATCTCAAAAAGAACTTTTCCTCATGTTCTGAGTTTCAGTGTCCATATTAGTGTTCAACATTACTACTTATTGTTGTCATGTGCCAAATGTGGTGACGCTGCTTACTATTTGATAGTTGGTTTTAGTCCGAGTTTTGTTGTTTGGACTGCTTTTTGATGAGTGGTGAAATGATATATATATTCTATGATTTTATGGGTAGATTGTTGGGAATTCGTGACTTTAATGAATTATTTTTATTCAAGTTCTTTGCATATTTTTATTTGCAAGAATCACAGGTATGTGTATGAGTTTCAGGTTTTCAGACAAAAAAAAAGTGAGGAATTTATGCTCACACGATGGTCGGAGGCTTTGCACATGCTAAAGAAAAAAATGGATCGTCAAACAGAAGAAAGGAAGTGAATTTTTTGGATGGCGCCACGGCATGGACTTTTTGCACCACGGTGCGAGAAATTGAAGTTGGGCAGAAAGTTCATGCGGTGGCGTGAAGAAAGTGGCACCACAGTGTGAAGAAAGTGGCACTGTGGCGTGACAAGGCCGTATGTTTGTGGAAAAATTCTGCGCCGTGTTGCCAGAAATTCACACTGCGGCGTGGATCGTGAGAAAAATAAAATCCTTATTTTTTTAACTCCGACTTGAACTTAGACTCTTCCAAAAACACCCTTAGCAGAGGAAAAGTATAAATAGGACTTTGTAAGTTAGTTTAGGGTTGGCTGGGGATCTAGAGGAGAGTTATTTTCTTAGCAAAAGAGAGGAGATTTTTCCTAGGGTTTTGGAGATCCAATGTAGCCTAATTTGATGGCTCTATGTGTAATCATATATTTATTGTTATTAATTCAATGAAACCCTAGATTCATTCATGTATTTATTATTCCTTTAATTTTCATTATTGTGTGACGACACTTAGTTCAAATTATTAGGTTGTATGTGTGAAGATTATTGAATGAATGATTAATATTCTATGCATACGCCCTGATAGAGTATTAGTAGGTTCATGATTTCTTGGGTAATTAGTGTTTGTGCACACGCCATGACAAATATGCCTTTGTTTAGGATTTCAAGTACTCATACATTTAATGGGTTTTTAATTTATAGGCTAGACTATACGCCTTAACTAGTCTTGTGTTAAAAATACTAGGTTAATCTCGAAAGCCTTACGGTAACTCCTTGATTTGGTGAGTGCGAACCCTAGAAAGTGAATTGATAAATAATAGATATTTGGTTGACATAGAGCTAGATAATTATGGTGAAATTGGAACCCTAGGTTTTGGTCGATTGGATTTAAGATAACTTTATTGTCGTTTAACTTTAGCTTAATTAGTTGTTTCTTTTGAAGTGATTCCGCCTAAATTACAATTATCAATTCTAGTTATTAGTTTAAATTGAATCTTCATTATTAAGATTAGTAAATTTCTTACAAATCTCTGTGGGATTGACCCTTGCTTTTGCACACTATATTGCGATACCGATTCGTGCACTTACAAGGAATTAGAATTTGTTCATCAAATTTTTGGCACCATTGCCGGGGATTTGTTTTAAGTTATTTAGTTTTCTTGATAACCATGCTTTAATTATTGTTATTTGATTTAATTTGTATTATTTCAATTTGGGTTATTTTTTTTTCATTTGTTTTTGTTTTTGTTGGTGTGCTTGTATTTGAATGCAAGGTCGCTGATCACTGGATAAAGAATTAGTTCATTAAGTGAATAGAGTGGATTTGATTGGTTTAAAGAGGAAGGAACCAGAATTTCCTAAAAATTTATCAGATTCAGATTCGTCAGATTCAAGTTCAAAACCAGAGATAATGGCTGAACTACCTCGTCCTATGAAGGAGTATGCATGTCCTACCATAGGAATGTTGCCATCTCGCGTAGTGTTGAATAAGGCAGCAAGGAATTACGAACTAAAGCACATTCACTTTTAAATGTTACCGTCATTCCATGGCATAGCCACAAAGGAACCACTTACCTTTATTCGTGATTTTTATTCTACTGTTCAAACTTTTCCTTTGCAAAGTTTGACAGAAGATTAGTTGTGGATGCATTGTTTTCCTTACACCTTGAAGGATGCAGCTAAAACATAGTTCATGTCATTAACTCTCGCTTCACTTACCACCTGGGATGCAGTTTATAATAAGTTCATCGGTAAATTCTATTCTCATGCCAAAACTGCAGAGTTTAGAGGTAAGATTGCTACTTTCTCACAAATGGAAGGTGAGCCATTCTATGAAGCTTGGGAACGTTTTAAATTGTTTTTAGTTCAGTGTCCACATCGTAGATATCCTTTAGAGTTATTGAACCAATTTTTCTATGATGGACTAACTCAGGCTTGTCAAGCCATGGTTGACAACGTTGCAGGTGGTGCTATAGGGCAAAAGACTGCACAAGTGTAACCCCCACATCAAGGTACGTAGCTTTACTTATGCCCTAATACCCTTAGTTGAATTTTGTTGAAATTATCTTGAACAAGTGTGAAGGAAATTCTTTAAAACGTTATTAGGGGTAAAATGGTCATTTCACTCTTAATTAGATGAAAGAGTGGGGAGTGAAAAGAAATAGAATAATATGGAGAAGATAATAAAAATGACGGTATTGTGGTAATTGACTAAGGGACATAGATGAAATTTTGAGAAAGTGCAAGGGTAAAATGGGAAACTATATATTATTATGTAGTAATAAGAGTTCAAGAGTTGAAATCCTAGCCACTCCACCCATTGTTCATGCCACCTTCACCCCAAATTCTCTCAAATTTCTTCACTAAATTTCCAAAGAAATTCATAGGATTTTGGTTAGATTTTGATAGATTTTCACTCCTAAGTATTCAAAGGTTTGCACCAAGATGTGAGATTAAATTTTAACATTTTGAATTCTTATGGTTTTATATGCTTAGGGTTAAGAGGAAGGGGAATTCTACCAAAGAGAGATTATAGTGTTGGAATTGCTCAAATTCAAGGTAAGTAAATCCAACTTTAGCTTTGACTGAATAAATACTTGTGTAGAGATATTTCGTATATGTTGTATGTGTGTTTGGATGATGAGAATTATGGATTGAAATTGAGATTGTTTGATTCGTGAATCTTATGGCCATGAGAAGTGATGTATTTGTATGTGTTCAGTTGATGAAATATTGATAATCATATTTTACACTATGATTTTGCATTGAATTTTAATAGGATTTAGGATACTTTTCATACAATTTGGGCCATAATTATTACCTAATTCTATTAATTTGTCTTTGCAGGCCTAAATGATGATTTTTAGCATAAATGACAGTTTTGAGCGTAAATTGTGTAACTTGAGTTTTGAAACTCGGAATGACCTGAATTTAGAAGATTTGGAAAACTAAGAAGAAGAGGTACAACTTTCATGTTTTTGGTTTTTCCTAATTCTGACTGGACAAGGGTGAAAACTTGGCTTGAAGTCGTGAAAAGTATGCGGGGAACTGAAGAAAAACGTCTTTGGACGTGCTTCAGTATTTCTGCCATAACTTGAGCTGTAGACCTCGGACTGTGCTGATTCTTGAACGATAAGAAAGATAACTGAAAGGGATACAATTCATATGTTTAAAATTTGTCCAGATTCATACTCTATCATGCAAAAATTTTGCCCAAAAGTTTTCACCACGGCAAGGAAAAAGCTTCGCCACAGCGAAACCTGCATCAAATGTAAAAATAAAACGAAGCATTTTAGCTTGCTAGGGCTTCATCCTTAAGTGAGAGAGGTATAAATTATGGTGAAAAGGAAGAGAAAAGGGGTCTTGGTTCGTCATTTGGAAGGCAGCTCTTGGAAGGAGAAGATTATTGAAGATTTGGGCTTCAAATTAGAGAAGATTTCTCCATCTTTTGCTTGTTTTTCAATGATGAATCTTGATTCAGTTTGTTTTTAGTTATTTTATTTCGTTTTTGAGTATGAAATGAGTAGTTTAGCTAGGGTTTGATGTAACCTTGATACAATGATTCAATTTTATATGAATTGATTTACTTTGAGTTTTAATTTCATAGTTGAGTGTTCATCTCTTTGCTTAATGACTTTTGGATGTTTGATCACCATTCAAATGTGTGTTGTTCACAATGAGACTGAGAAGTGATTTGTGATTGTGCCTCTTGGGATAAATACCGTAGGTTAAGCAAATGCTAGAGATAGGTTTAGCGATCTATGAAATCTAGATAGAATTCCATAAAGCTTAAAAGACTTTGAACTATTGATCTTCATTTTGTTGGATGCAGAAGCTTAATAGGGATAAGTAGGGAAATGTAGCCTGAGAAGGTATGTTTTACAACTTAGGGAATTTGATTTTCAATCAAGGAATTAGAACTTGGGTAATAGATTCTATGAATTGGGTTAGCGTATCTTGGTGAAATCAACACCCTAGCATTTTTTAGCATTGTTTAATTAGTTAAGTTGTTGGATTTTGCTTTAATTTCATTATCATTCATTTATATTTTGTTAATTTGTATTTAGTTGTTAATTTTCCATCAATCCAATTTATTGTTGCTTCAATTAGGGCTTAAACTAGAGAAGTCGGTACTTAGTAACACTATCCTTGTGGGAACGATACTCTACTTATCACTTTATTACTTTTTGCGACTAGTACACTTACTACATTTGCATGTTTATGAAATCACGCATCAAACATGAGAAAATGGATGTGGAAGGGTGGAAGGTGAAGTTCGGCTAGGATGGTTATTAGCCTTAGGGAGTTTTTGCTCCAATTTTGGTGGCTTGAGAAATATGTGGAAGTGTAACCAATTTAGGGTTTGTATGTGCATGCAAGGTATTTGATGAAATTTCAAAGAAAGTGCATATATAAAAGTATGTTAGATTATTACTTTGTTATGGAAATGTTGTTGGTAGAGAATACTGTTAGTGTATGCCCTAGGAACCAATCGTGTCATCAGTTCCGAGGCATTATGTTTTGTATATATATGTGAATGTATATAGTTTGTATATACATTTTATCTTATCAATAGAAGAAAATGTTCTTATTTCACATGTGGTTTATTGCTTCATTTATATATGTGTATTACATGTGAAATGTCCGGATGATACAAATCTTTAGAAGATCAAAATCATCAAAGTATTCCCTACATAGGTAATATTAATTGGGCAATAATATTACATAGTAGGCATGCTGAATGCCTCCGTAGAATATCATGTGATGGTATTGGTGTGGGTGATTATAAAAGTTATATCACTAGGGCATTAGCATGGATACGCGGTTAGTGAACTGTTTATCGAATATGGCCATTTATGATGAATCACATGGACATTTAAAATGTAGTCAATGATTTATCATAAGATCATACTAGGGTATTATTAATCCTTAGACCTGAGATATCACAGTTGGATTCTGTATAAATGCATAAGGTTCATATGGTGTATAAACATGAGGCTAATCATGCTATGTGTTAATAAGCCGATTTGGCCATGTGTTGTTTATGTGTGAGGACAAGTGATAGTCAAGATGTGGTCCGTTGACTTGGTATAGATTGATATCAAGTTCCTAGACAAATGTCAAATACATTGGAAAAGGGAAATCTTCGGCTGGGGTATACAAAATGTTACATGAAAGGTTGTTTCATAATGACACGTTCCATATGTATTAAATTAAAATCAAGATAAGGATTTTGACATACCATGAATTCATTCTTAATTGGGATTAGATAACGGAAGGATTTGATTATACAACGTGTATGATTGTAAGAGGTTCGTTGGAGTATATCTTCATTGTGACTTAGGGGTTATGGAACATTGCTAGATGCCTACCATAATCAGTGGGAGTTTTGTTCATAAAGAGTTATGACAAAACATATCGAAATAGACTGTGATATTGGGCCCACGGCTAGGCCACAGTGAACCTAAGAGGTCACACATAAAAACTAAGGAGAATGGAGAANCATTATGTTTTGTATATATATGTTAATGTATATAGTTTGTATATACATTTTATCTTATCAATAGAAGAAAGTGTTCTTATTTTACATGTGGTTTATTGTTTCATTTATATATATGTATTACATGTAAAATGTCCGGATGATACAGATCTTTAGAAAATTAAAATCATCAAAGTATTCCTTACATAGGTAACATTAATTGGGCAATAATATTACATAGTAGGCATGCTGAATGCCTCTGTAGAATATCATGTGATGGTATTAGTGTGGATGACTATAAAAGTTATATCACTAGGGCATTAGCATGGATACGCGGTTAGTGAACTGTTTATCGAATATGGCCATTTATGATGAATCACATGGACATTTAAAATGTAGTCAATGATTTATCATAAGATCATACTAGTGTATTATTAATCCTTAGTCCTGAGATATCACTGTTAGATTCTGCATAAACACATATGGTTCATACGGTATATAAACACGAGGCTAATCATGCCATATGTTAATAAGCTGATTTAGCCATGTGTTGTTTATGTGTGAGGACAAGTGATAGTCAAGATGGGACAAGTGATAGTCAAGATGGGATCCGTTGACTTGGTATAGATTGATATCAAGTTCTTAAACAAATGTCAAGATACATTGGAAAAGGCAAATCTCCGGCCGGGGTATATAAAATGTTACATNGATGATGACTTTTACGGACTTGCCGATTTACTTGTGGGGGCATGCCTTACAAACAGCAGTGCATATTTTAAATAGAGCACCATCTAAATCAGTCCAGAAAACACCATATGAAGTGTGGTATGACAAACCACCTAGTCTTAACTATTTAAAGGTCTAAGGTTGTCCAGCTTATGTCAAGATTGTTAAAACAGACAAGTTGGACGTAAGATCTGAAAAAGGTTGATTTATAGGATATCCTAAAGAAAGTTTAGGATATTATTTTTACTTCCCTACTGATCAAAGGATTTCAATCAGTAGAAATGCACATTTCCTTAAGAAAGAATTCTTAGAAGAAGAAGGTGCAAGAAGAAAAATTGAACTCAAAGAATATTCCAAAGAGTCTCAAATCGATCATACTCAGATAGGTGAACCAGATCAAGAACCTTCAATGCATGACACAATCGTTCTAGCCCGTAAATCTTCTAGAATATCTCGACCTCCAGGGAGATATTATGGCTTTCTACATGAACAAGTTTTTGAATCTTTTTCAATGGGAGAAGTTGATCATGGAGATGATCCTAAAACTTATGAAGAGGTGATATTAGATATCAATTCTGGAAGATGGCTAGAAGCGATGATTCTGAAATAGAATCT